CTTGCTGCTTGATATTTACGCTTAGTCTACTTGTATTTCATGCTGTTTAGATGGAATTGTGACTTAATTATTAACTATGCATAATTTCATAATAGGAGCATCAGCTTCTGACCAACTTTTTCATTTCTCTGTTAGTTATGACAATGTTTTAGCACCTTGCTAATTTCATTACTTTTTTCACTTTAACATTTTGTTTTTGTGTCGTCTCAGCAGAATGTCACTTAAATGATTTATATGCAACATCAGGGCATGAAAGTCTACTATGACTTATTTAGTTTATACTTTGAATAGACTGCCTGTGATATGCAGCCTCTATAATACATAGTCAGTGGAAGTCTGGGGTACCATTTTAGCTAGTTAGTCACATACTGATTTGCCAGTCTTGGTTTTTAGCTAGTCAAATAAAAATTTGCTTATCTATGCTTTCTTTTTTCATGTGTCATTTCAGGAGAAATGTTTACTAAATGCATGAAATGCACATTCATATAGTCATTTTTGCATTAAAGAGAAAAAAAGTTGGAAAAAATCAAAGACGGCAAACTAAATTTCCCCAATTTTAGGCAGCCCAGTGGGCTAAGCCTCCCCAGTATGTCTGAGCAGAGCATTTTGGGCCATGTCAAGGTACATGATGTACATTGTGGATCCATTGGATCCAACTCCTAATACTGCCATACTGTTACCAGCTGTCCCAGCATCGCCAGCTGTCCAGCTGACACCGACAGTCCAACCATCCCAGCATGGACCTTTTTGTTGAATTGATCCAACCAAATAGTAGCAACCAAATAGTACATATGGGGAAATTAGTGATAAATCTGTCTATTTAGTTGTATAGTCAACATCTTTTCATTACTATACCAGAGATTTCAGAGCAGCTAGTGCTAGTGATTGCCAGACCATCTTATATACTGCCAGCACACCTGCAGACCAAACACTGTTCACCCAAGATGGCAATGATGGCTATGTCAGACTTTGATTACTTATTGCCTACCCTCATGGAAGAGCTAGTGAAATTGCCAAATATGACTAGCCAGAGTCATTTATGCAATTGGCAGGATTTGTGCAGAGCTGCAAGCTAACACCAGATGAAAATTCAGCACACCATGAGTGTAATGAGACACCAGCAAAACTCATCCTATTGAGATCCAATCAGCTCTCAAGTTATCATCAAGGAAATCTATAAATTCCCTCCTCCCCTTACCACTTCCCAGGTTACGTCAATATGTCAGTTGATTTTGGGGAAGAAGAAGAAATGCCATATTAATGGCTCCTTCCCCAATCAGCAAGATTAAGGTGATTCATGACTGGCTTTCAGGTCTGATTGGTGATCCAGGAATTTTTAACCAGATTCCAGTGGCTTCCTCTAATCACTGGTATCAGATGCATTCCAATGCCTTCAGTACAGATCTTCTGACTCTCAACAAGAATCTTCCAGCCATCAATATGTTGGCTGTACTGTACTACCAAGTGAATAAGAAATATTCCATGTTATGTCTAAGCTGGTTCATAACATCATGTTGACATATTTTCTGCTAGATTTGGCAATCTTTTGGTTCACCAAGCAATCCAAAAATAACTATGCCTGGCCTGACATGTTGGCCAGGGTCCCTTAGCCAATTCAGACCTAATCTGACAAGACACATGTCTGCAGTCAGTGCTGCTTAAACTCCATAGTACTCTTACTTTACAGACTACCCCATTTGGGACTCCCTTACTTTTCAGATGACGAGTCAAAGAAGGCTGACAAATCTGCTTAATCCGATATCGTGGACCCCACCAATATCAAGGGATGCTCAGCATCCCCAATACTGTGGATTTCCTGTCAAATATACACCAGTACTGATCCCAACCCAATGCCAGGAGACCACAGCCTAACCAACACAGGAGGTGATTGTACATAGTTTGGAAAAAACAGAATTGCTCCTCCTTCAAACCTCCAAACTGTAATCATGTACCCTCTCCACCACCTGCAGACATCCTACCCATGGGAGGCTATCTCCTGCATTTTTGAGCTCACCTTCCCTCCAAGGTGTGTGATCATTTGGGTTTCATTCATCCAACTCTATCCCCTCTCTTTCACTCCACTCTTCGCAAATGTACTGTCACATTGGGAAAAGGATGCCTTTTTACAATGGTAGATACAGTCACTGATCAAAATTAAAAGAACAAAGGCAGTGGAGTTTCTGCCTGTACTGCATTCCTTGGGTTTTTAAGGCAGTTAAACAGCAAGTTAAGACTGGAAATGCCTCAACCAATTCAAAATGGAGATGGCAAGTTCAATCTGCCTCTCCACTCCATGGGACGAGTATGACATGTCTTGATCTAACAGATGTATATTTTTACATCCTGTTCTACCCCATTTCAAGAACATTTTCTCCATTTTGTTTACCTCACTGCTTAATGTTCCGAGTTCTCCCTTTTGCCTCAGCATTAGACCTTGAGTTTTTACTGAGATTATGAATTACGTTGCCATGCTGTTGCTGTTCTGGTTGACATTATCTACAATGAAGGCATTGTATGAGCTTGACACCTCCAGAGATGTATGGTAAGTTCTATTCTACCTCAATGTAGGAATAATCTTCCCTCTCTTCTAGATAATCCAGGCTTTCTGTTTAACAGGGAAAGTTGGACTTCCGTCCATCCCTGTATTTTCTCTATTGGGGCATGGAATTTTAACCAACTGGAATCTGGTATGACTGCCTCATGTTCACATAATCAGAATGGTCAAGCGTATCATGTCCATATTCAGTGCAAAAGATTTGATCCCACTCTGCTGTCTTTTTTATGTGGACATTGTGAGCAAAATGGTGCCCCTTGATCACACAATCATATCATGCCCAATATTTGATCATTCCTATGCCAGTAGTGCACTGATGCCAGTGTGCATGGTGGGGGTGCCAACTTTCACTGCCATCAGCAACACATGGAAGCTATTGGAACAGGCTCTAAACAACAACATTCTAGAAATGAAGCCTGCCATCAATATCTTTAACTTCTGAAAAGATCCTCTCTGAGGCAAAAATGGTCCTCATTAGGTCCAATAACTCCCAGGTGGTGACTATCTTCTCAAACAGGGAGGCATCAAATCACCCATCCTGTGTGTTCTGATATGACAGTTTTCACATTGGTGAAGCAGTCTTTATTTCATCTTATAAGTCAGATACAGTCCCATCAGATTCAGTGTTTTAGACAACACTTTGTCCAGAAGAGGCCTTGTCCTTCACACAGAATGGTCTCACCATCAACCAGTCTTCACTTGTATTTACACACTTTTGGGGATTCCAGTGACTGACCTCTTTGCAATAAGGTGGAATCACAAGCTATCCACTTTTGTGTCTCCATATCCAAACCCAAAAGCTTTAGCCATGGTTACACTGTCAGTCATTTAGGTGGGGTTGTGAGCATTCACATCCATTCCTATGGTGCTGAGACTAAAAATAACCCAGAAGCTAAGGTGTCAAAATGGCAGAATGATTCTGATAGCCTGGGACAAAACCTGGGTCACAATCAACTCATTCTAGCAATAGATCTGCCCAGTAAAATCTCTCCAGCAATCATTGGCCATGAGTGGTCCTTTCCTCTCATCTTCTGCATGCCAGGCTCTTATCAAGTCAGATTTTGAAACTATTCAAAGCTTCAATTGTGGAGAGAATCTTGAGAGTAGAGTAGAAGGTGCTCCACTCTGAATGCTTACAAAAGGAAAATGGCATGTTTTCAGGGAGTGGTGCCATACCAACTACATTGTCCCCTTTCTCAGGCCTCAGTCCCTTAGTCTGGCTGACCATTTTCTCTAGCTATTTAAGAAGTAGTTAGCCCCAATCTTGATCTAAGTCTACTGCCCCATTATATATATATATATATATATATATATATATATATATATATATATATATATATATATATATATATATATATATATATTACCACATCTTGGCTTGCATGATTTTGGGCAAGATATAGTCCTATAGAATCTTTTAGACCTTTTTTGTATCATTCAAACTAAATTCCCTCATTCTGTCTCCAGATGGAATCAATACTGGGTTTTAACATGGCCAAATTTTAATCCATGAAAACCTTATCATCCACTTTCCTAATCTTACAAGTTAAGTTTCTTGATAGCTTTAGCTTCCACATGCATGGTAAAGGAGTTGCATATCTTTTATGTCAACCCGAACTCTCTTCAGCTCAGATTGGAGGTTATGGTGGTTCGTGACATAACCAGGCTTTGTATTCCAAAATAGGTTACTGTCTGTCAGTAACCAGAGTCATAACTTGCTTGCTGTCCCCAATAGATCCAGTATGCACTCGTGAAATGCACAGAGACAAGTCATGGCATTCGCAAAGGCATTTTCCTACCTGTGTGAGCCAGAACACAGGATATCAAGCCCGCAAGCTTCAAGCCCTTCATGGCTAAAGTGGGTTATACACTTGGTATACTTTGACATTTCACCAAATCAGAGTCACCTTAAGAAGATTACTCTCAGAAGGTTTGAGCCATCTCTGTGAGCCTCACATTTGAACATAACATTTTTATCCAAGATATAATAGAAACTGTTGGTTGGCATGCAGAGTCAACCTTCTCCAGCCTTCATCCCAGTGATTTAGCAATTTAGAGGCAAACCATGAATCTAGTAGTCCAGTCATGGCAGCACTTATGACCACAAGACCATATCAGTCAACACATCCTGTCAGCTTCACTGGATTCGCAGGTTACATTTTGTAGAGTATAAGATTTAAATATTAATATTTTTAACCATCAAAGTGACTCCAGGCTGTGTTGCATATGTAATTTGGATTACAGGTTACTGTTCACATGGGGATATCTAGGTATTCTTGCCTAGAAGGATACCTGAGCTTGAGGTTGGATGCTCAACAACTCATCCTCTTATTACTTCTTCTCCTAACATAATTTGATTGGGTAAAGTATTCAAAGAAGAAAGCAATTTTTTAAGTAAATCATGTTTATCAGAGAATATTTACTCAATCAAATTCTTAACTCTACTGACTACTCAGGTGGCCTGAATGTTACAGCATCCACCTTGGATGTGGGAGGTCGTGGGTTCGAACCCTGGCTGAGTCATACCTAAGATTTAAAAATGGTACTAACAGCTGCCTCACTTGGCGCTCAGCATTAAAAACTTAGTGTTAGTGTTAGGACTGGTCTGCCTGGTGTCAGGATAATGTGACTGGGTGGGAATCATCCCATGTCTGTGGCATGATGCCTCAGTGGTAGACATCCCTATAAACTGTTACACTGCACACACACTCTTAATTCTCCCAACCACCCACGTTAGTATCTCTCTTACCAAAGAACTAATGACAAATGGCGATGCCAAGGGTAAGTAATGGACAATAGTCTTTACCCTTTGTTGAAAAAGAGAAAGACGATTTTTGTCTTTTATTAGGACTGCATTCACAAGGTAACCGGCTAACATTTATAACATGATTTGACTGGATAAGTATTTTTGGAGAAACATAATTTATTTAAAAATTTTGTTGTCCTTTTTTGTATCATTTTAAAAACTGTGGGAAAACATGCTACAGAAGTATTTTTTTTAAATAGGCAAGTGTTTTAGAGTCATGCTGAATGAGCAAAACAGTTGACATGTATTCCCACCTGAACTAGTGCTATAGTGTTGTATTATTCCTTTACAATCAGATCCTTAGCAGTGACTTTTCTTCTTCAGTCCATAAGTAGATTTAAGATCAGTATTCTATATCAGCTATTGGGAATTTTGGTAATGCCCTTAGTTGATTAATAGAGTAAGTCTTTCTTTAAATAAAAGACTTTTTTTTCATTGAAATACTGCACAAGTAACTTCATGCTTTTTTTTATTGTTCAGTAAAAAAAAGGTTAAAAATCTGCCATAAAAATTACTTTTTTTAATCACACTCCAATATAGGATGCCTATGAATCTGTACACATTATTATATCAAATAGATTTCTTACTTATTAAAAACTATGAATTTCATTGCTTGGCAATGTAAGGACAGTAGTATCATTCTTTCTATTAAAGTAATGACTATGTAATCTTTATTTTTTTCTTTTATTATCAAGCATGAAAACAGATACACAATATATATATATATATATATATATATATATATATATATATATATATATATATATATATATATATATATATATATATATATCAATATCAGGGGTCATGCTACCAAGTGAAGTAGGCAAAAAAGTTGCCCAAGAAATGTAAATTTTGCATTTTTCTGATAGGAAAACGAAAACAACTTCGTCCTATGATTTTTCAGACATGAAAATGGATAGAGATTATTATTTTTGAGATGCCCCCTCACTGTAGCCAGTTAAGTTTTGGCACTGTTGTAACCCAAGGTATTATGTAATTATTTGGTGTTGATAACATTCAGCTTTTAGTGACAAAGAAATTCTTGTACATTCACAAAAAAAGTTTTAATATCTAACTGACCATTAACCCTTTCCAGAGCAAGGTATCACTGCTTAATTTCATGAAGTTGGACCTACTATACTATGATGAAAATTCTGTTTTGAAATTGAAACATCAATATGCAAATAGTAATTTGCTTTCAAAAAATGATTGGTGAAGAGCTTTTACTTATTTAATTCTTTTTTTTAATGGAAATTTTAATGGCTGTATTTTCATATTTTCTTTATAAAATCAGTTTGAAAATATAAATGAACTTGTAAGGTGGACATCACTGCATATATGATATACCACTTCTATTAGCTGTCTCTATTCATAAATAATTGGGCAAATAGATTCAGGAAAATATTAAATATAATGAAGCAATGTTTAAATATTTTATGACAGGAGATTTAGTCTAAACTTGAATAATATGTCAGAAATATGTGACAATCTCATGGAATTCGAAACAGTGCTGCAAGGTCAAGGTTGTTTTCTGACATACCATAATTTTCGTGAAAATACAAGAAAATATATACATAGTAGTGAAATAAATACTATTTAACCAATATATATCATTATTACCAGTAGGTAAACAAATGATACAACCATAAATATGCAGTCCTATTAATTTTTTTTAACAAAGCAAGAAAGTTGAGTAATTATATTAAGAAAAGCCCTCTTTCTAAACATTGATGCACTTGCATGGTGCAGTGTATGGTCTTAGTTGTTTTGGTTGGTGGAAAAGGGTCCAGTTTAGTTATATATTGACTTAAGTGTTTCAGTGTGTTGTCAATGAATAGTTACTGTAATGTTTTATCAGGAACAAGGAAATCAGGACAAAGAGTATGGTTTGAACGTGCTTGTGCATTTATTCTTTATGTTCTTATGGGGTTGTTTTAAATAAGGCTAGAAAACAAGTCTAATTTATTTGGCATTTTTACCAACTTGCAATTACAAGACTCTAATCTTGTTACTGCAGTCACTTAAAATTAAGTACAATGTATAGCTTCTGCTGTGCTTTTAAGTCAAATGGCCAAAACACACAGGATTTATCCCAAATCCAAACATATATATACTACAACTAGAATGAATATAATAATTATGCATGAACAAAATGTGTTGATAAAACACATATAACATTTTTAAACTTAAAAATAAGAAAATAAGACATTGCTCAAAACTGTTAAAAGCATACTGAGAAATAGAGCACATAAATAATACTGCCTATATATATATATATATATATATATATATATATATATATATATATATATATATATATATATATATATAATTTCTTTCTTTGCTCACACTTTTCTGTTTAACTTCAACTTCACCCTGTTCTGACTAAAAGGAGAAATGATTTATCCCAAAAATTTAAGTCTAGCTTGACCCCTGATATATATATATATATATATATATATATATATATATATATATATATATATATATATATATATATATATATATATATATATATAAAATGTAATCTGTCTAATTAACCAATTTGCATTCCAAATTTTGCATGTGTACATTTCAAATGCTTATATCTTTAATTTTAATGGGGGGAGGTGCATATTGTACTGTAGGTACTAAAAGTTAATGACTAGAATGTATATTGCTAAAAAAGGTGTTATATTCTATATCAAAGGACTAACTGGAGTGGTCACTTATATTCTAGTTTTAAAATGTACATATGAGCATCACACATGGTTAGGTTAGATATTTGGAATACAAATGTTAAGGCAATGTTGATATTTTGCAATCATGTACATGTTTTATCTATGAGCAAAATCTTGTTAATTTGTATTGTCCTTTTATGTGGTATATATTGCCTTGTAGTCATAAACTCACCAGTAATACCCTACTTTCTTGACATTTTCTTGATTAGCTTTTTCTCACACATATTGTTGATCATTGTAGTTACAGCCAGACAATACCCTACTTACTACACACTTTCATGGTTGACCAGGACAGAATATGTTACATGAAAAATTGTGTTATTTTGATTGCCAAGGTTAAGTATGACAAGGAAGTTTTTTTATTGCACTTTATACATGACAAAGAAGTATATTAAATGTTTTTTTTCTTTACATTATAACAAATTGAAAAAGCTTTTTAATGTATGTCAACCAACAAATGTTGAACTGTTAGGTCTGCTTAAAGTATCATGGAATGAAGAATTAACTTGCACACCTTTGATTTATATAGATGGATGTATTTATCAATCAAAATCTTTTCATTTGTGGATCATGTCAAATTTTCCCCATAAATAATATTACTTTTTAGAAGCTACCTAATTTTGAACATTTTTGTTTACAAATATTTACAGGATTGAGGAGTGGGGAAAATTTGGGAAAAATTCATCAAATTTAAGTCATAATCAGCTAGCACATTTTAATTAACATTGTCATTCTTTGCCACGATTTACCTCAATTTTTTGTAAAAATGTTCTTGAACTGATTTGCTGATTTTTATATTTTTGAAATGCTCATATTTATTTAGATCTCATGAATAATTAATTTTTGTTAATTTACATTTCTTTTCTGTCACATTTGTACTGAGGCTACTTGTTATTGTACATGGCCCAATTACTTAGTATGTCATATGCAATTTTGTTGTGCAGTGAAATAGAATAAATATCAAATGCAGAGAAGCTTGTTTCTTCTTGTGTACAATTGTAAGCCAAATGAATAAAAAGCAAGCCATCAGTTGCATACCTTTTAAGCATCAGTTCCACAGGTGAAATGAAGCCACAGAAGAGCTTGTGGGAAAACCTAGTAGAGTCCAGAATATTCACATGATTGGCCAATTTGCATTTATTTCCTTATTCACAAGGCCATTTTTTAATTTGTTCCATGTTTTTAACTATCAGGCAGTGCAAGTTATGAAATTTTAGTGGGAAAGATAGAATGCTTTGGCAGGCTGGATTCAGACCCACAGGCAATATCTTGGGCAACCAGGTTGCAATGGTAGCCTTCTTGAAGTCCTTTGGAATGGAAAGCGCTACTAATCTTGTTTTTCACCTAGAAGTTTTTCTTATGCACTTAATCCTAAATAATAATGGTGCCGATTTGACATCCAATATGGCTACCACATGGGCCATCTTGAAAACTTATTGTTGCTACTTCTCTTAACTCATTAACTCCTGGAGGTTTTTGTCATTTTCACCTGAAATGCGAGTAGGAAACCCATGTTGTGGACTATTTCTGAATACTTCCTAATACATCACCTTCTAATGTTTTATTGGCTATTTATTTCATGCATGAGCAGAATGGTAGAAGTTGGAGTTCAGGGTTGGGGGTGTGCTCAGTGAACCCATCATTTTTTTAATCGAGACCCCTCTATTCCAAATGCCATCTTATCCTTTTTGCAAAGGCTTGCCAGTCTCTGTGCAGTTCAGACTGATTTGCGTTAGATCTGAAGCCCAAAAAGTCTCAAATCAAATTGGACACAAAATTAGATTCAGATCATGGGTGAATTTTTATGGAAACAAATTGGGTCCCAAAAATTACGATTTTCCCTCTTTATTTTGTATTGCAACTAGATTGTCCAGATTATTGATGATCTATGTAGTACCTTTCTATAATATCTGTTTATCATACCTTGACGCTACAGAGCTTAGAAGTAGGTTACTAACTCCTGCTGCATATTCGAGGCATCAGGTGTTAATGAG